GGAAAAAAAAAAAAAAAAAAAAAACATTCTTGAGACCGCCATTTATGACCGGACAAATACATTATGCAGATCTATCTAATCATACCTTTCCATGTTGCCTGATTCTATAGAGCACATGAAGGTTAAAAGGAGGGTAAAAGTGGAACAGAAACTCTTAAATTTACTGGACATAAATATTTGGACTTCCAAAGAGAAGTGAAAATATTGGGACTGAACGGGTATGTAGTTTCTTTTTGTGTGTGTGTGTTCTGTAGCCCACTGCAAGGTTCTGCATCTCATATAAGGATTCCTCAAGCATTGACCGAATCAGCACAACTCTTAATAGTGCAAAAGATTTGTCGGGAAATCTCGAAAGGGCAGAAAGTTTCTAGATGCATTCATTCATACCAAACAAATTGCAGACCCTCTAATAAAACACAACATTAGGAAAATGTGTAATAATTTATTAAGAGAAACGAGTGCTTACAGTTTTCTCAACCATTCCAACACGATGGATGGTGCTGAGAAGTTCCCCCTTGTCAAATGGAATTAGAGCTTCCACCCACACCATCATATCCTATTGAGAATATGTTTCCAGCACAAATTAGAACACAGACATGTACAAGCACAAAAGATAAGAAGACAATTTTGTAAGCATGATAAATGGGTATCAGATGACCTTTAGTCTCTCCTGAACTGCATTGCAGAATTCTTCTAAGCCTTCACCAGTCAAAGCAGATATGCATACAACATCATTTCTTTTAGCCTCCATTATGATTTTTTCCGGGTCATTGGCTTTATCAACCTGTCAAAATAATGCATTAACAATCATGAACTGATCATCCTACAACCTATTATTGTAGTCAGGAAAACTTGGAACTTAGCCTGGTAGTATGATGAGATGAAAAACATCGACAGTGTAAAAACATTACTGAAGAAAATCAGCGGATTTAGTAACCGCTAGCCAACCGGATTGATCTCTCTATAGTCCATACGCATTGCATATCAGAGGATAGAAAATCTACAACGGCAACATAGGGCACTTAATTCTAATACTCTTGTTCTCTGGCTTGCACCAAAACAAATTGGTCATTTCAGATCATACCACATCATCCCGCTAATACTGTGTGCATCATCAATTGCTACCACCAAGTGTAATGATCAAAAGGCCCATGTTCTTATATAAAGAAATTGAAGTAAATTTCCTCTTTGAAGGTTTCTTCTT